TTTTATAACACAGCCATGAAGCAAGCCTGTTTTTTCACCAAGTGTTCAATCAAAGGAACATCTATCTGGCTGTGGTGCTGCAAGTCAGTGCCTTCAGTACTATATGGGAAATTCAAGGAATTTTCCATGGTAATATTGTCTGCACATAATTTTTATTTCATGATGACTTTAGAATACAGCTCCTGCCTAAGCTACTGCTATTACATTTCCTATCGGTACATATCAGATTGAATTTTCTTTTTTACCTCTGTGTTTCCCAACTAAATCCTAAAGTTCTCATTTGTGGCTTATGGTCCTTGAGAGGACCACTGCCTGTGCTTGTGCAGGTCACGCACGCACAACTACAAGAGTGCACTCTGCACACCAGAGCCTACGTAAGTGAACTTCCACAGTCCTTGGTGGTACCAGCTTCCTCGTCTCCCCAGTGCCTGGTACCTATTAATTGCTTGAGAAATGTGTGAGTGAATGACTAAATGAGAAAGAAGGCAAGAACAAATTGATCTAACTATTCCTAAGCGAGATATCTAACAGTCCAAGTTGGGGTTAAAATTCACACAGGTTTTGATCCAACAAACTTTAAACCACGTTATTATAGGTTGATAGAATGTATATGATAGAATGCACCTGCATATGATAGAATATACCTGTCAGCTAACTTGGGGTGTCACGTTTACCTACAATAACAACAAAATTACCTTTCCTCTTGTGAACTGATCAAGATTATGTTTCCTGAAAGTACATCACACTTTGCAGACGTTACTGACTGCATGATCACCCTGTGCCTAACTCCCTAGTGGACATTGTGAGGCATGTGTGTGAAGACAGGTCTAGATTCAAGATGACTCTAGCACCCCCACCCCAGTCAAAACAACTTAAAGATTTCTTTAAAGGAAAAAAAAAGCCTCTTTGCATGCACCCTGGCCCAGCAAGTGGAGCTGCAACCTGTGGATCACTGATAATTCCAAACAGGTTGTCCAGGGCCAGTCACAGTCACATAGGTCTGCACCAGAGTCTTTGCAGATTTACCCAATACAAGGGGAGGGAAGATTCCCAAGCTCAGTACACAAGGCCAGCATTATCCTCATTCCAAACCAAATAAAGGCACCTCAAAGAAAGATTATTATAGGCCAATATCCCAGATGAACATGGATGCTAAATTCCTCAATAAATATTAGCAAACTGAACACAACAGTATGTTAAAAAAATCATGCACCATGCCCAAATGGGATTTAGTCTGGGGGTGTAGGGTTGGTACAATATCTGCATATCAGTAAACATGACGTACTACATAAACAAAATGAAGGATAAAAACCAAATGACCCTATCAATAGAAGCAAAAAAAGCATTTAATAAAAATTCAGCATGCATTAATGATAAAAACTCTGAGAAAAGTAGGAATAGAGGGTACATACCTCAACATAATAAAGGACATATATGGCAAACCCACAGGCAACATCATACTTAATGGGCAAAAACTATGTGTTCTTCTTAAGATCAGGAACAAGGCAGGGATGTTCACTTTTGCCATTATTATTCAACATAGTACTAGAAGTCCTAGCCACAGCAATAGGACAAGAATAAAAAAGCATCTAAATTGGAAAGGAAGAAGTAAAACTGTCATTATTTGCAGATGGCATGATACTATAGAGAGAGAACCCTAAATATTAAAAAAAAAAAAAACCCTGCTAGAACTGATAAATGAATTTAGTAAAGAAGCAGGATACAAAATTAATATCCAATAATGAACTATCAGAAGGGGAAATTAAGAAAACAATTCCCATTCAAAATTGCATCAAAAAGGATAAAATACCTAGGAATAAATTTAACCAAGAATGTAAAAGACCGTACTTGGAAAAGTATAACACACTGAAGAAAGAAGTTAAAGAAGATACAAACAAGTGGAAGCATATACCACGTTCATGGATAGGAAGAATTAACATCCATATTACCCAAAGCAATCTACAGATTCAGTGCAAATCTTGAGATACCAATGGCATATTTCAAAGAACTAGAACACATATTCCAAAAATATATATGGAACCACAAGAGACCCCAAATAGCAATGGCAGTCTTGAGAAAGAAGAACAAAGTTAGAGGAATCATGCTACCTAATATCAAACTATACTACAAGGCCATAGTAATCAAAACAGCATGGTACTGGCATAAAAACAGACACATAGATCAGTGGAACTGAATAGACAGCCCAGAAATAAACCCACAGCTTTATAGTCAATTAATATTTGACAAAGTAGGCAAAAACATATAATGGGTTAAAGACAGTCTATTCAATAAATGGTATTGGGAAAATTGGACAGATATGTACAAAAAAATGAAACTAGACCACCTTCGTATGCCACACACAAGAATAAACTCCAAATGGATTAAATACTTAAGTGTTAAACTCAATACCATAAAAATCCTAGAAGTAATATAGGCAGTAAAATCTTGGACCTTTCTCATAGCAACATATTTTCTGATATATCTCCTTGGGCAAAGGAAACAAAAGAAAAAAACAAACAAATGGGACTATGTCAAAAAGTTTTTGCACAGCAAAGGAAACCATCAACAAAACGATAAGACAACCCATTGAATGGGAGAACATATTTGCTGTTATATCTTATCAGAGTTAATATCTAAAATTTAAAAGAAATTTTAAAACTCAACACCATAATAAGCAAACAACCCAATTAAGAAATGGGCAAAGGACCTAAAGAGACACTTCTCCAAAGAGGACATACACATGGCCAACAGACATATGAAAAGATGTTTAACATCACTAATCATCAGAGAAATGCGTATCATAACCACAGTAAGATATCACCTCATACCTGTCAGAATGGCTGTCATTAATAAATCAACAAATAGGAAGAGATGGCAAAGATGTGGAGAAAGGAAAACCCTCGTGCACTGTTGGTGGGAATGCAGACTCATGCAGCCACTGTAGAAAGCAGTATGGAGTTACCTCAAAAAATTAAAAATGGAACTGCCAGTGATTCCACTTCTGGGAATTTATCAGAAGAAACCCAGAACACTAATTCAAAAGAATACTTGCACCCCTGTGTTCATTGCGACACTGTTTATAACAGCCAAGATTAGGAAGCAGCCCAAGTGCCCATCAATAGATGAGTGAATAAAACAGCTATGGTACATTTATGCAATGGAATATTATTCCGCCATTAAAAAGAAAATTTTACCCTTGGAGCAGCATGGATGGACCTGGAGAACATTATGCTAAATGAAATAAGCCATTGAGAAAGACAAGTACCATATCATTTCACTCGTATGTGGACTCTAATGACCAAACTGAACTAACAAGCGAAATAGAGACAGACTCGTAGATGGAGAGCAGGCTGACAGCTCTGCAGGGGATGGGGAGGTGGGGGAGTGCCTTGTAGGGGCTGGAGGGGTTGACCAAAATAGAAAAAAATGAGAGTTAAAGAACATATGGACACAGACAGCAGTGTGGTGCTTTTTGGTGGCGGGGGGTTGGTAGAGGTGACCGAGGGTATAGGGGAGATACATGGCAATGGAAAAAATACAATACGTGAAATATTATTTTAAGCAAAAAAAGAAAAATATGCCAATGCCATGCAAGTTCTTTCAATAGAACAGCTGATTTGTAAAGTGCCTTATGTTATTAAAGGAGGATGTTGAAATATAAAAATCTTACAAATGATTTTTATACTATTATACCATGAAATATTGGCCTTTAGCATGGTTCAATAAGAGTATGACTGTGCATAGCCCTAGCAGGGGGACAGTGTTTTTTTGCTGCCTACTACATGCTCAATAAATGTGCATTATTCATTATACTTACATAATTTTTGTGGCGTTTAGCAGACCACCCCAAAACTCCATCACACTTCTCACTCATCCATGAGAAGAAAATTAAATAAATAAAATCAAGATTTCTTGATTGCCCTTGGATGAGTCATAAAGCTTATATAAATGCAAACAGAACGCATTTTTCAAAAGCAAGGCTTTTATTGGGTTATTTGATAAAATACACCGAATATTCGTGGCCAGCAAACTGGACGCCCCCCCGCCCCCCGCGCCCCGCCCCATTGAAAAGTGTTGCCACTTTAAACAGTGAACTTCTCACTTGGAATTCGAAGCTTCCGAACGTTCTGCCAGGAGGACTTAGGGAGCGGGACTGACCCATCAAGGGCGCGCGGGCTTCTGCCTAGACCTGGCGGGAGGAGAGGCCCAGAGGCCGCCTTGCACAGGCAGTGGTGGCCGCACCGCGAGTGCCGCACCGCGAGTCCCGCACCCCGGACCGTAGCCCCAATAAGCGCCAGCAACAACTCTGCGCTTGTCCCTGGGCTGTTCTTCCCTGTGCTTCCAGCAACGAGGCCACCAGGAGCAGGCCACCCACCACCAGGACACTTTTGGCAGGAGGCCTCAAGGGCGGCGGCTTGGTCCGTCAATCAGAGTGCGCGCCTGGCACAGCAGCGAGCACGGGGCAGGCACGCAGGAGTCCAAAATATGTGTCACATGAATGGAAAAATAAGCCGATGAAATAAGCAAACCAAAGGAGCGCAGTTATACAGGGAACGTTTGTGGGGGGAGGCACTGCCATTACTCCAGGAAATGCTAAGAGGCGTACACTTAATGCTGCAGCTCCTTCTCGGCGGGGCCCGTTGTCCCTTCCAGATCAATGGAGACTTGGCTTTCTGCTGCCTAATAAAAGTACACTCAGCCTGCTGAAGTTCGGCTGCCCAGCTTTCCTGTCGCGGCCCCGCTTGGGAACCATCCGTGGCGATGGTTCTTCAGCTCCTGGCTTCTAGGGTGTCGCAACAGTGGTTTTTGCCCCTGAGTTGGGATCGGAAAGTCATACTGATCATGCAGTCAGTTCACTTAGAATTTAGCGTCTCTTCCTGCCCAGGCGTTGCCCGTCATCGCGGGACACCCGAAGGACACAGTCACCATTTGGGGTTGGGGTTTTTTTGTTTTTGTTTTTGTTTTTTTTTTTTTGTTCGTTTTTCTTCGTGTGCCCCCAGGTGAGCTCTCCGTGGAGGAGGCGCAGGACCCCTTCCTGGTGAGCATCCACGTGATCGCAGACCCCGGGGAATCGCGGCCCCTGCAGGAGGCCATCGACAAGGTCCTGGCTTGGATCCACCCCGACCTGCAGCTGTTCCGGGTCTCCGAGCGCCGGGCGGCGCGGCGCCGGCGGAGGGCGCCGCGGGGGACGCAGCCGGCGCTGGCCGTGCTGCTGTTCCTGCAGGAGGACCTCGGCGACGAGCGCATCCTGCGGCTGCACCGCGCGCTGCGGCGGCCGCCCTGGCGCCACCACCACACGGAGCGCGTGCCTGGCAGGCTCCTGCCCTACCTGCCCGGCAGCCAGGACTTCTTCTCGCTGGCTCCCGGGACGCCGCTCTGGGCCGTGCGGCCCGTGCACTACGGCCGCGAGATCGTGCGCTTCACCGTCTACTGCCGCCACGACCGCTACGCCGACAGCCTCCAGTTCTACGAGCTGATCCTCCGGCGCAGCCCCAGCCAGAGGAAGAAGGACTTCTGCATCTTCCCCGTCTTCTCCAACCTGGAGGTGGACATCCAGTTCTCCCTCAAGAGACTGCCCTGCGACCAGAGCCCCGCGCCCACCGACTCCGCCGTGCTCGAGTTCCGCGTCCGCGACCTGGGCGAGCTCGTGCCGCTGCTGCCCAACCCCTGCAGCCCCATCAGCGAGGGGCGCTGGCAGACGGAGGACCACGACGGGAACAGGATCCTGCTGCAGGTACCCTGGCGGGGCGCGCGCGGGGGCAGGGGGTCCGGCCGTGTCTGTCTCCACGTCTGTGTGGGGGGAACAGAGAAAAAGCGGGTTGGCTCTGCCGGAACCCCTGGTGGACTACCTGTTACCCAGCCACGAGGTCAGAAGGAGGAGGGATCGGTGGCCTCAGGCTGGGTCAAGGTGTCCCTAGGGTCCCCGAACAGCAGAGGAGGGCGCTTTCCATTGGTCCTTTTCACTTCACTGTCGTGGCCACGAGCCGCAGGCAAGCGGCTGCCTACCCCGGCCCTGCCTCTTCGGCCTCCCATGCTGGCGCACCCCGAAATGCTCATGGCTCCTGGAGGTTACGGAGGAGTTTATATCCCAGGGAACTTGCTGTGAAAGATTCCTGACTCTCCTTCCCCACGCTCAGGGAGTTTTACCAATATTTTCCCGCCCCCCGCCCCGACAAAGGAACTTCAGGAAAGCCCACCTATGAAAATTGCGAAAAATATTCCATTCAGTGGAGAAGATGCCTGCTTTCTCCCTCGCTCTTGGGCCACCCCACCTTCTACCCTTCCAATGCCCAGCAGTAGGTTCTTAAAATTCAGTGATCACTTGAAAAACGGCTTTCTCATAAAGGTTTTCAGGAGTAGGTGATGGCTGTGGGCCTTCTGGTTTCATTAAGCTTGGGAAAGGGCAAGTGGGCGCGTTTTAAGGAGACGGTGCAGTGGAACCCTCTTCTTCCTCGGTGTATGCCTTTGCTCAGATACTGGACCCCTTCTCCTCCCGTCCTTCCCAAGGCTGCCTGACACTCTTTCAAGATCGCTCATCGTACCCCAGAATTCCCAGTTCAGCCGATTGATTTAATAATGTCCTACACCTGTGTCTCCCCACCCCCCCGCCACCCCGCCCCCATAAATGCTTTCCAAACCCAGGCTTTCTTGAATAGCATGTAAATCAGAATAGGGGACTTCGTTTTTCCCAACAGCCTCAGTTTTCACTTGTGGCTACCTGAAAGGAGAAAGTTAACAGTGACTTAGGGGCGGTTGTCTTGGAAGGTGCGGATCATGGTTACTTGAATCACAGGGGAAGGTTCCGTTTTTGTCGGTTTGGGCATTAAACATCAGAACTGTAATCCACATATCACAAAATACAGTGAGAACTTGGCACAGGTCAGATATCTGGTTATAACTGCAGCCAGGACACATCGCTCAAGTCAGAAGGCCACCTAGAGATATTTACTATTTATAGGAATGAGCTAATTTCCAGATTTCCCTTTGAACTGTACAGATAAGTAAATCATATCGCTTTATTATTCAGTGACCTGGATAACAAAAGCCAGCATTTGCTCTGGAACCCCTTTTGAAGTGGGAGAAAACACTTTCCTTTTTGTATGAAGACTGCCAGCTCTTTATGCAAAATATAATGCTGTCAAAGAAGTAAAAGTCAATGGAAGGTTTTGTTTATACTGAAAAACCAAAATGCATGTGATTGTTACTGAAGGGACTTCCTCCTTTTGGTAGTAATTAGAATGCTTTTTTCTCTTGATCCCGGGCATAGCGTAAGCGAAGGAGCAGAGGGTGAAAGGATGGCCTGGCCTCTGCTCAAAGGAACCACTGAGAGAATATTTCAAAGAGGATCCACATGTTTAAACGGTTATAAAATCTGTTCACGTGCAGGCTTTTGAAGTCACAGCATCAAAGTGTGAAAATAAAGGCCTCCGGAATGCAGGCCTTTATTCAGAATAGTGGCATGTTTGAAACGGGCAGAAATGACTAAAAGCCCCTCCTACTGCTGCCGATGGCCACGTGACCAGCTCACTGTTACTCTTCCCTGCAGAGTCGACCTTCTGCTCTGGCATACACATCTGCCCATCTCTTTCAGTTACTTTTTGTTTCTTTTTTATATATTTATTGATTTTTTTTAGAAAGAGACAGAAACATCGATTGGTTTTTCCACTTATTTATGCATTCATCGATTGACTCCTGCACGGTGCCCTGACTGGGGATCCAACCTGCAACCTTGGCGTATCGGGATGGCGCTCCAGCCAACTGAGCTCCCTGGCCAGGGCTTTAAGTTACTTTCAAAAGTAAAAATTTATGCTTCAGTCTTTAGCAAAATTAAGATATTTAGGTCATGGAGACAGGTACCGTTGAGAAAGTTCATTTTTATCCGTATTTTCCTTAGTAGCATGTATTTCTCAAGTTCCATTTTCAACTGTAATTTTTAATATATGCTTTGGTTCAATTGGGTGGAATTATACACTAAAGAAAAATTTTTCATGGGTAGTTTTTAATTAACCCTTGAAATATGAATTGTATTGTATTTTCCCCTCCTGCCTCATCGACTTAACAGTCCATATTTCAGAGGGCATCTGCTCCTATTTAATTCCTCTGGAGGAGAAAAGCTAAGAGGGTTTTTTTCTGGGAGGTACTCACCCTCTTCCAAGAACTCAGAAATGTTTTTTACCAAGATCTGATAAGACAGAAGGAAAGCCTTCCTCCCCCTGAAACTCCCCTCTCCTTCCTTCTTGGCGCTGCTGGGTCGGGGGGAACAGGCAGGAGGCGGGGGTGGGGGTGGGGGCGGGGGGTCAGGAACAGGAGTCATCTGAGACCCTCTGAAGAAGGCGTCTTAGGAATTTGCGTTAACACCTGGCAACACTGAACTACCGTTTTCTGGAATTGAGGTGGTGAATCCACATCTCCCAGAACTAAACTAACATTGTACTTTGAACGTAAGAGATCCTCTTTATATGTTCTTCTTTACTTTTTATTGATATAAACGATATCCTACAAAAAGTGCACACATCATAAATATACAGCTCAGTGAATGTGCACCAATTGAACTTTTATTTGTGTAAGCAGAACCCAGATGAACAGAACAGAAACAGAAACAGAGAGGAGGCCTCCCCCTTCCCACTCCTGGGACTCACTTCCCCTCAATGAACATATTAATTACTCTATATTGCCCTGACTGATGTGGCTCAGTGGGTTGAGTGCCAACCTGCAAACCAAAGGGTCACCGGTTCGATTCCCAGTCAGGGCACATGCCTGGGTTGCAGGCCAGGTCCCCAGGAGGGGGTGTACGAGAGGTGACCACACACTGATGTTTCTCTCCCTCCCTTCCCTTCTCTAAAAATAAATAAATCTAATTACATTGCATTAGTGGGGGAGGACGTTCCTAGTCAAAAACTTGGGAATAGGAATATGGTATATTTTTATCTTTTGTGTTTTCAGTAGATTTCACATTTTTAAAACAAGATTCAAGATGCCTGACAAAGATATAAACCACACAAAAAGTTTAATAAAAATCATTAGATTCCTAAGGGATTTGAAATGGAGGAAAAATAGTGATAGGAAAGTAAGATAAGCCAAGTGTGACATGCAAAATGCATGTCATTTTCCCTATGCCCGCTAAGGCTGTGCTGCAACTTGGTAGTCACTAGCCACATGTGGCCATTTAAATTTAAAAGTTAAATAAAATTAAATAAAATGTAGAAAAAATACAACAAAGATTAAATTTAAACCATTTTTAGATCCCCCGGACACATTTCAAGTGCTCAGTAGCTGCATGCGGTTAGTGGCCACCCCACTGGACAGCACAAACACAGAAAATTTCCATCATCCCAGAAAGTTCTCTTGGACAATGCAGTTCCAGAAACAGGCCTCAAATTGGACTTTGAGTTTTATAGCAGCAAATGCAAAATGGAAAATCCTCAGGGACAGGATTTCGAGTCCGTGAGGGAAAAATGAGCCATGCCTGAGACGTGCCAGTGTCCCCGGCTCAGAGTGCGGGAGCAGCGGTCACGCTTTTTCTACCCTCACCGCAGTGTCAGCAGCCAGCCGTCCACTGCAGCAGCTATGACGGGACCCCCTGGGCTTCTTCCTGTGCGGGGCCTGCCATGCGGGCCAGGTGCCAGCCCAGTGTCAATGCAGAAAAGCCACTGTCCTGAGGGAGGCTGCGCAAAACAAGGCGGTCCTGCCTGCAGCTCCGGGGCTTGGCCCGTCCAAGAGGGAGGATAACCTCCCCCCGTGGTCTCTCTCAGCCCAGCTTTCGGTAGCTAGTAAATGGCAGGGAGCCTGGCTTTTTCATCCCCAGCCAAGGGCTGGGAGTAGTAGACCTGTTCCTTGGAGCTGCTAAAGAATGGAGACATACTTCCTGCGACTCGGCCACATTGGGTTCTGTGTTGACATCTCCTTAGTTCCGAGGAGCCTGACAAGGATACCTGCCATTAGAGGGTCACAAGGCAGGTATCTTTCATCTTTCGAGGTGGCTCCATGCTGCTTCCCACAGTGGCTGCACCAGTCTGCATTCCCACCAGCACTGCATGAGGGTTCCCCGTTCTCCACATCCTCACCAGCGCTTGCTGCTTCTTGATTGGTCTATGACGGCCATTCTGATCGGTGTGAGGCAATATCTCATTGTGGTTTTAATTTGCATCTCTCTGATGATTAGTGACATTGAGCATGTTTTCGTATGTCTACTACCCATCTGTATGTCCTCTTTGGAGAAGTGTTTGTTTGAGTCCTTTGCCCATTTTTCCATTGGATCGTTTGGATTTTTTGCATGCCCTCGGATTTAGGTCATATTACCATATTGCCACATTACCAACAGCAGATGATCCATGCATTTGACTCACGAACGCACACCGGTTGTACTGTCCTCCTCTGTCCTTTTCCAAGGAGCCCAGGAGTGACAGGGGCATCCCTCGGCCGACGCTTCTCAAACTTCAGCGGGCCTAAAGGCCGATTCCCGGGGTCTGTCTCAGAGACCGGCCCGGGAAGCCCAGGCTGGGCCTGAGACCCTGCATGCGAAACAGGCTGCCCCGCAGCACCCTCCCTGCACGTTCACCAGGCACGGGCTGTGCGAAGGCAGCCCTGCCCGGTCGTTGTGAAACCAGAGACGTCCGCGTTCATGCCGCCCGTCGCCGCCAGGCCCGATAAGCAGAGACAGGCATTGAATCTCTGTGGGCGCTTTATTCAGGGGCTCGCGACCTGAGAACACAGCGGGTTTGTACCCTAACAGAC